AGCTGCCGCCACTGCCGCCTAAGGAGAATCCCTGGACCAAAAAGCCTCCCCAGCACCTGCCCCCCGCCGGGACAGAGCCGCCGCCGTCTCCGCTGGAAACCCCAGAGGCAGGTCTGTGGCTCCTCTTCTCGGAAAACTGGGAGCAGGGAGGGTGCGGGCACAGGCGACCAGTCAGGCTGGCAGCGCGTGGCGGCGATTCGGGCGCTAGGCTGGGGGAGGGGCAGGCCTCCCTCCCTGACAGTCGGAGGTATGTCGTTCCAAGGTGTCTCTCACGCTGCTTATTTACATAAATGGACATCTGGGAAGAGAGCGGCAGGAAGAGGTGGGACCTCAGGTTCGGTGGCCCGGTGGGGGCACCGCGGGCTCAGGCGCCGGGGCTGGCGGCGCGGCCCCGACAGTGTGTTGCCCCACGTGTTAGCAACTTGGGAAAGTAGCAGGCTTTGGGTAGATACTGGAGTTCACCCGAGGGTAAAGGTCGAGTGAGCTTTTTAAAGAGGGGTGAAGCAATGCTGAGCCAGGGAAAGCGTGGCATTTTTATTAAGCTGCCAGCCTCGAGGTTTGCGAAAACGGGCATTCCTTAACATTAAAATGTACTCGCAGTGACCGTACTTTGAGTTATGATTGTCAGGGAAGTAGACTGCGAGTGGGGTGGACTGCCCATTAGGTAAAGGGTAGTCGTCTGACACTGAGTTAGCGCCCCTTCCCTTTAACTACTGGAGAATAAGATTATGCCACTGCATTGGCAATGCTGACCAGGTTACTTCCTGCAGCCCCTGGCGGCTTTATTTTGGTTGTAGCAACTGCAGTTTTAAGAAGTTACACAAACATTTTTTAATGGAACTGCTACAAGGCATCTTCCAGTTTTGATTTCTTAGGGTTTATTAAGTTAGTTGAACTTTTTATATGGAAATTATAGCAGCTTGATGGACTTTTTCCTTAGAATTAAAGGTTTAAAGGGGAATAGGGAAAATCTGAGGGTGTTAATAGAAAACAAACAGGGTTCTGCGAATAAGTGATATGTTATAAATGTTAGGTGATTATAGACACATTGTTGGTAGTATGTTACCAAGATTTCATCAGAGGAATTCTCCAATAAAATTAGACAGCTGGTGAAGTTCCTTAGCTTTTGCTTGGAAACAGGGGTCAATAATTCTTGGTAAAACAAAAAATTACTTAAAAATTTCTCCTAAATTTATTGCCATTTCCCCTGTAATTTAGATCAATGTTTTCTCTTTTTGCTGACTGAGGAGAACATCTTTGGGAAAATAGTAAAAATTAGCATAAGCCCCATAAATCATTTTTACATTTCTGCTTTTATCTCTCTACTTACGGATTTCAATAGAGTTAAACATTATATTCCGTAACCTACACCCAATGAGCTTGTTTTTTCTTGATTGGAATTTTAATTGAAGATGACCTGGTGATACTTTAACAGGTGAATTAATTAATTTGCTGCTCTTTTCATTGGGTTGAGATAGATCTTAATCTTCATTGGAGGAAGTTCCTTGGTGTCACAAATGGCTAAGTTCTTGATTTAGCCAAAAGATTGGTGCTTCCAGCTCAGCAGGAGACACCTAAGAAAACAGACCTCGGGTATAGCTTCTGAAAAGTCAAAATCTACTTGGCACTTATTGAGTCATTGCAACTAATGGCAAGAATCATTTTCATTTGAAAATAACAAGGTGATGCTTAGTGTGTGGTATGGTGGATATAAGTTTTGCTAGTGTATGTAAGCAACTCTTTCTGCATTCCTTGGGATCCTTTTTTATGCCTGCTGGAAAACCAGTCTGCAGACCCATCTGACTTCACTGTTTAACCAGGACTTTGTAGGTAACTTAGATGGTAGTGTCAAAATGGGTTGATATGAGAGTTTGAGTCTAGTTTGGGTGTTGTTACTAACTACTTGACTTCTGACAAGACTCCAGGGCCTTGCAAATGAAGTGGATGGACTCATTTTTCCAGTTCTAAATAACAGGGAGCTATCTGTAACTTTGGTGCTCTGGCTTCCTATTTTCCTAAGCAACTTTGCATCTTCAAGAATAATGAAATAGGGACAAAGGTCTGACAGGTTCAAAGCAGGTGCACATCAGGAAGTCTTCAGTGCCTATTAGTAGGGTGCCTGCGTAATTAATCTTGCAAACCGGAATACTGTTGAACAAGAAAAAGCGTATTAATAATCCTGGGATAACAGACCTAAATAGATCTGTTCTGCCAAATCTGGATATGCTGCCACTCTATTAATGTGGCTAAGGAATCACCTACAAAATTACAAAATTGTGCCAGAAAGTTGTTTTTGTTTTAAAGAGGTAGCAGACATATACAGTATAGCAAATGTAGGCGTATGTTTCAGGACTGTAAAATCTGCACTTCTAAATGAAGCAGATTTTTGCTCTTTAGCCCTTGTGAGTCTTCTATTTTAGGATAGTTCTGGCCAGTGTATTGCCCTCTCTAGTGATCCAGATAATTTTTGGAACAAGGCCCTCTCCAGCTCCAAGCCAACCAAGAAGCTTAGAATAGTGAGACTGCTGTCTTGAATTCAATGGGACCAGAAAGAACTTTCCCACAATCTGTCCTAACCTTGTTTAAATTACCGTAAATACTCATGTGTAAGCCGAGTTTTCCAGCACATTTAAAATGCAGTTTTTGTTATAAAATTAGGTGCCTCGGCTGATATTTGGGTCAGCTTATACTCGAGTATATTCGGGTAGTTTTATTTATTTTGGACAGTCTCCACTGAAATGGTATGGGATTCGTGGTTGCATTTAGCACATAAAATTAGTTTTATAATACTTTCATTGTTTCATTCATGGAGAAATGGTACATAATTCTTGCTTATTGTCAGCCATTACCTCCCAATACTGATGTCTCAGTACCTCAAGTTAGCTTATTGTTCTAGTAAAACAACACTACATAAATTGATAAATGATACCCAAATACATTTTCTTATAAAAAGATAGAACTTTTGATGTCCCCCTTGCAAGGGCTAGTGTTATTTAATGTGGCTCTTCTGTTAGCCAAACAACCTTTCCCTGAACTGGTCTAGTAAGAAGGTGGGGAAAGACATTGATAGAATTCACCTATGAGTAATTGTGAACAAAGTTTTCCTGGAGTGCCATTCTGCTGTGTATAAAATGAGCCTGCTGTGTAGTTGGAGGAGGAATTTCGTTATCAGCAAGAAGCAAGAGCCAGGAATGGAGTGTGTCCTTTGGAGCCAAGATCCCTATGCAGTGAACTTCCTGCATCCCAAAGACAGCTATGCCATCAGAGGAGCAGCAGCAGAACTAGGAGCCAGAGCATGGAACAGAGTGATGGACTTCCTAATTCACAGAGCAAGTAAAGCTTGAGTGCTTTTGTTCAGTAGGGTGCCTGTGGGCACTAAATTGGGGAAGCTGGACTTGCTGACCAATGGAAGTGGAGCTGAGTGCCTTTGAGTTTAGGCTTACTGGAGTGAGGTACTTGGGTACTTAATTCAGGGAACTGGGTTTGCCGACCCACAGCTTAAACTGAATGCCTTCAGGTTGAGGCTTATAGCATAGTGGCATGCCCTTTGGGAATTCATTAGCAGACTTGACAGAACTTTGTAACTGTTGTTGATAAACAACTCAACCCTGAGCATTTCCCATTGGCATTATCACTTGTTAGCTTTCTTATTAAGTGCAGTCCAGTTGATTCCTTAGGCAAAAACGAAAGAAATACTATCCAGTCCTGCACCTTCCTCACAATAGTCCTGTGCTTGAGCCCATTATTGCAGCCACTTTGTCAATCATCTTGTTGAGGACCTTTTATGCTACCCTGCTCCAGAGACTGGTCTGTTCTGATACACACTCAAAGTATGTAAGAATGAAGTCTTGCCATCCTTGCCTCTAAGGAGCACTCTGGCCTTACTACTTCCAAGACTGATTGGTTTATCCTTGGTACTTTCAATATTCTCCTGCACCACAATTCAAATGCATAGATTCTTCTTCCTTATTGTCCAACTTTCACATGCATTTGATGTAACGGCGAATACCATGGCTTAGGTTAGACACATCTTAGTCTCAAAGTCACCTCCCTGCTTTTCAGTCCTCTAAAGAAAAGTCCTCTAAAGTACACCTTTGTCTTTCGATCTCTTGACTGCTCCTTCCATGACCATTGTCTATCCAAGCAAGATAAATGAATCCTTGACAACTTCGATCTTTCATCCATTTATGATTTACCTATTTGTCCAATTGCGTATCAATTTACATAACTTCATATAACTTCATAATTTAACAAACCTTTAATAATGAATTTTGCCTGTGAGTTTTCTCTAGCCATGGCAATGGATATTAGAACTTAGAAACCAAGTAGAGAATATTAATCAAGACATATCACCCCTTTAAAAATAAGATAATATTAACAGTTTAGTGAATATCCCTTCAGACCACTTTCTATATATGTAGTTGGTTCCAAATATGTTTTTGTATGTGTTTAGGATATAAAATGTCACCAGACATATTTTCATTTAAAGTATTGGCTAATCCATTTTAATCTAAACTTTTAAAAAATTTTCAGGGTGGTCCATAGGAAATAACTATATTGTTACTTTAACAATGGTGACCATCATCTGGTTGTTTACATTTTTTTGAAAGAACTTAATTTTAACACATTTATTTTTTCCAAGTGCCCTTCTAGTTTCTATTCATAGCACAGTTGGAATTTGTGTCATGTTATTGTCTTGTTTTCCCTTAGAATTCTATCACAAATGTTTTCCCAGAATACCAGGTCATCATTTCGATGACTAAAGTAAGGACATCATCATTCATCCAGTAGCCACTCCTAAACCTACATCCCATGCCAGTCAAGTTGATGCCCACTCAAACCCGCCATACAGAGCAGAATAGAATTGCCCTGTAGGGTTTCCAAAACTGTAATCTGTAGGAAAGCAGACTGCCTTTTGGTTAGCAGCTAAGCACTTAAATTTTTTT